CCCTCTGGTTTTGCCCTTGAGTTCCACTTTCCGCTCGCAGGTCTCACGGTCTCACGCCTAAATCCAGAGGCTTCATGTGCAGCCCCGTGATCTACCGGAACTGAGCTTATACCCTACCTAAAGCCTGAAAAGACCTACCTGTTTGGCAATCTTCTGAACAGGGCATGTTTTCTTGGGGATTAAGTACAAATTACGGACAAGCACGAACTACTGACCCGGCTTTGGGAAGGATTCGATCAGCAAAATTGACCGATCCCTATTAGGTTTGAGATTTCAGGATCAAGCTCTAGTATTCATTGGGCCGTTGCGGGGTTTACGGCTTAGGGTGGAGATGTATACCCAAGCCCTGGTTTCGAGCTTAGGCCGTGCTGGTGGCCACACTCTTCGCAAAAGCCACATCATCCACGGTGTGGATGCAAAGGCTGCAGCCTACAGTCTGGTACTGGTGTTGGCTTTATGTTCTGGGGTTGGCACTTGGGGCCATACGGCTACTGTCAACACTTGCCAGCTTTTTCTTAAACTTTTCTTGTTCACCTGCCTGGTCTCACGACTGCTCCTACATAAGCAAGCTAGGCGGGCAACATCATCATGATGTCCACAACATGTTTGTTCCAGTCTGCCGCACTCACCTGTATCTAAGCTTGTTTATCGCAACGACATCGCCGTGGTCGTGCTGGTAGTCGTGGTCTTCGTTGTATCAGTGCTTGTACAAGAGCGCCGCCTAAGTTTACGCGCATCTCCCGGCCCGGGGGTTCGAGACCCGCGCACCTACATATACATATACATATACATATACATATACATATACATATACATATACATATACATATACATAAACGTATACTTATACACATACAAATACATATACATATACATATACATATACGTAAACGTATACTTATACATATACAATACATACACATATACATAGACATAGACATAGGCATAAACATAGACATACGCATATACATACACATATACATATATATAATCATATACATCGCAAAAACAAGAATAACATGACGAGAGTACACATAAGAAGAATAGTGTGTGTGTGTGTATATATATATACACTGTGTATGTACGAACCCTTTGCAAAACACCAAGTCGGCAGCAATCGTACACAACAGCATTGAAGGTCTTGTAGTCGCATTGTAGTCTAGGGTCTTAGGGATTAAGACCCGGTTTCAAAAGGATTGCTGATCTTCGCTCACAACGCACTTTCGGACTCTGGCCAGGAGTGTGTGTGGCGATGGCAAGTCAGCCTACGTCAGCTCGCTGCTTCGACCTCTAAGCATTCAGGGTTCAGGGGATCTTGCAGTATTGCGGTGTGATTCGAGGATTCAGGGGTCCGAAGGTGTCGGATGTGACGCTTGGTTTCGGGTGTAGGCTTTGAGGGTCTTCGGGCTTAGTTTCATTCTGAATTCAAGTCTTGAGGGCTTCAGCCCGGGGTCTTTTGGAATCTTCCAACATCTTTCAAGCTCAGGGCCGTTTGATCCCTTCGGTCAGCCCCCAGGATGCAACACGACAGTGACATTCGCTTCGAGGGTGAGGCTGAACGGAACACCTAGGTCCGCCGTCCACAAAACTCGAAATCCTAAGCAGGGCCCCTGAGGTCCCTCCGGCTTGCGGCGCTGCTTGAACCTTGAACCAAACCTCAAGCTTCATGTGACGGACTCCCCAGAAAAAAAAACATAGACAACGGAATGGGCTCTGCCCTTGCAAACCTGAACCCGCGAGCTGCGCAAGTAAAGTCCGAATTCGATTTAGTGTTCGGTTTCGGAAAGTGGCCAGGTGCTGCTGCTGATCAGTCGTAGAACCAAGCAACCCATTGCTGGCACAGGTCAATGGCACGGCCATGCACTTCTGCGGCGGCACCCTAATTGAAGACAGGTGCCCAAGAGTCATGATGTTTGGGGCAGTGCGGACAGGGTCGCAGATTTGTTTTTTTCGTCGATCGTCTGCGATAAAGCGCCTCAACCTGGCAAGCACAGAGCAGTAACTCCTGGGTTGCTGTAGAATGATGGTTTCGACTAGGCTTTGGGGGTGCAAAATAGACGTTATAGTTGCTTAAGAAATCCCCAAACACTTGTCCCGGTACAGTAGCGCTCAGGGTTTCGGCGGCTGATCTGCAGGATCGAGCATTTAGAAAGGAGACTTTCAGCTACACCAGGGGGTGGTTGAAGCCTACACTAGGGCTAGCGGCCAGAGCTCCAAGAATCTCATCATCATCATCATCATCATATATATATATATACATATATATATATATATCATCTCTGCCAAAGCTTCCCTATATCCAGCTGATGGAGCAGATTTTAGGGATGACCAGGGTTTACATAGGATTGTCTGGGGTTGGGGCTTGTCACCTTGGTGGTTTAGGGACCATGCCGCATCCTGAATCTTGTCATGGTTTGTGGGACAGAAGGGCACAGAGGGTTGAGGGGTTCCCGTCAGAGGTCCGAAGGCTGTCGGGAATGGGGGCCTTGGTTTCAGGCTCTCTCGCTTTTGCGCGGGTCGAAGTCCCAAACCCGAAAGCTCCTGTAACCCTGAACCTCAAAAAACCCTAAACCTTTCAACCCTAAACCCTAAACCCTAACCCGCAAACCTAGCAAACCCCAAGCCCGTCAACCTGAAACCTAAATCGCAGGAGCTGTGGAGCCGGCTTGCGGAACATGTCCTAAAACAAGGTAACGTATTCCAGTGACTCCCTAAAACAAAACTGCATCAAATGTTAAAAGCATTAGGACTCCAGTTACCTAAATAGTGGGTTATGGGGTTAGATAGTATATGTGGCTAGTGATCTGTTTTGAGTAACCGGAGCCCTAAGAAAAAAAAACAGCAGAGCCCAAGAAAGCCTTATGGCAACCCTAAACCCTAAATCCTACACCCTAAACCCTACTTGGACCCCAAAAGTATGTAGAATAATAGCCTTTTTGTGGGTCTGGGGCCATTATTTTACCTATTTTTGGGTGGGTTTAGGTAAACCCTAGAGCCCTAGAGCCCTCAACCCTAAGCCCCACACCCCAAACCCTAGAACCCTAGAGCCCAGAAGCCCCAGAGCCCCCAGTCCGCCTGCTTCCGCAATTCCTGTGCGCCCCACTAAACCCCTAAAACCGTAAACCCCTAAAACCCTAAACCCCTAAACCCTAAAACCCTAAACCCTAAACCCTAAACCCCTAAAATCCTTAAAATCCCAAAACCCAAAACCCTAAACCCCTGCCATGCGAGAGGGAAAAAAAACCCTAAGCCCTAAACCCTAAGCCCTAAGCTCTACAACCCTAAGCCCTAAAAGCCTAAAGCCCTAAAACCCTAGACCCTGCAACCCCTACACCCCTAAAGCCTTGAGCCTTAAATCCGACCTGTCAGGTGGGTCCTCACTGCGGCGCACTGCGCTGCCTTCCTGGATGACTGCAAGCTCTCCAAGCTCCAGGTGCTTCGTTCGGGTTTTTGGTGTAGGGGGTGTAGGGTTTAGGGGTTTAGGCTTTTGGGGTGTGGGGGTTTAGGGGATTTGGCTTTAGGGCTTTAGGGGTTTAGGGTTTTTAGGCTTTAGGGTTTAGGCTGTAGGGTGTATGGGGTTTTGGGGCTTTAGGGGATTAGGCTTTACTGTTTAGGTGTAGGGGTTTAGGGGTTAGGGTTTAGGGTTTAGGGGTGTAGGGGTTTAGGGGATTAGGCGTAGGGTTTAGGGGTGTAGCTTTAGGGCTTTCGGGTTTAGGGTGTAGGGGTTTAGGCTTTAGGGGTTTAGGCGTTTAGGCTTTAGGGGTCTAGGGGTTTAGGGGTTTAGGGTTTAGGCTTTAGGTGTTTAGGGGTTTAGGCTTTAGGGTTTAGGCTTTAGGGTGCAGGGGTTTGGGGGATTAGGCTTTAGGGCTTCGGGTTTAGGGGTTTAGGCTTCAGGGTTTAGGGGTGTAGGGGTTTAGGCTTTAGGGTGCAGGGGTTTGGGGGATTAGGCTTTAGGGCTTCGGGTTTAGAGGTTCAGGGCTTAGGGGTTTAGGGGTTTAGGGGTTTATAGGCTTTAGGGTTTAGGGTTTAGGGGTTTAGTTTAAGCTTTCGGGTTGAGGGTTTAGCGGTGGTGGGTTTGCCTAGGTCTCGCGTGTTGTCATCCACTCGACCAGGTACTCTAAGGTTCTAAAGCAACATAGGGGCACCATACATATAGCAGCTATCATAGTATACCTAAAACAAGCATCCAACAGTTTTGCTGGCAGAGTACTAGTACACGCTGGGTCTGGGATAGTGGCAACTGTAAGATGTTGTCGTGGATATAGGCGGGGCGTATATATGCAAGTATTGGGTACTTGCATGTGGGCGTCAGGACTTGTGGGGCTGTAATGCAAGGCATTTAAGGGCTTGTGGCTTTTCCAAATTTACGGCTCTATGATGGGATTTTCGGGCAGTTTAGGGTTTTAGGATTGGCTGTCGGGCAGTTGCGGGTTTTAGGGTGGTTTTAAGGAACTATCTCTGCAAGCACCATAATAACCCGACTGCAACAGGGTGGTTTTTAGCTTAGGTAAGGGGTTTAGGGCTTTGGCGATGGGGCTGGTTCCAGTAGTGTGTCTTTGGCTGGATGGGTCGACATCTGACACTGCCAAAGCAAGGTTGCAAGGCGACGGCAGGCCACCTGGGTTCATATGAATCAGCAGATGTTGCGAAGTTCATCAAACTGCCAAACTCAGGAGAAAGAACCCGGGCGTTGACCAGATATACCCTCGGGCTCTAACTAGAAGTCGTAGAGTTTAGACTTCAAAAGTAGGTACTATTTGTATTCTTGGAGCATCCCGGGGCCGCAGGGAATTAGGAAGCCTATTAAGATATACTGCGTAGCTGCAAGGAGCCATGGGGAATAAGGAGCCGCAAGGGGCCACAAATGGGAACCTTATGCCGCAAACTCTGCACCCGTACATGTATAAACAAACTTCCAAGCCACGGACCCTAAAATCCTGAGAACAATTAATATTGGTAGGTCCTGAGCCAGAACACCCTGAAAACCCTTATCCTCAAAGGTTGTCGCAGGCGGCTGGCAGCAAGACACGCATGTCAAACCAGCAGCCGAGACCTCGGAGGTGCGTGGCGTCTCGCAGGCAGCTGGGCTTGGGCTGTGGCTGCTGGGGGTGTGGGGGTGGTGGTCGTTCAGGGTTTGGGCTGTGGGCTTAGGGTTTAGGAGTGCAACCTTTAGTTGGAACGTCGGTTCGGCTAGTAGCTTCACGCAGTGGCAGGTGGCGGGAAAAGCAGGTCTTGGGACTAGCTTCGATATCGAGGCTAGGATGTGTCCCAAAGGTTGCTTGCGCAGTGCTGGTTTGCGATCTTCATGGGGGGCCCACTGTGGAAGTAGAGCATCCTGGTTTTCCCTTGACCACTTCCCCAAAAAAAACACCGCCGCAAACCCCAGGGCACGGCGGTCTAGCCATAACGTCAAGTCGCTTGGGTCATATAGCATGTAAGTCATCCTAGGCCCATAGAGTAAACTTCGCTGTGCCCCAAGCACCATTAGCTCTACCTTAAGCTACCAAAACCTACTTGTTTTGTAGAGTCCCTATAAATTTCATATTAGGGTCTAAAATAAGAACCTACCAAAAAGTAGTAGGTGATGGTAGCTTAAAGTAAACCCATACCGCCAACACTCTACCTTGAACCCTAAACTTAACCGAAGACCCCAAAGCCCGAATCCTCAGAGCAAGAAGCAGTCGACAGGTCTTTGCGCATCCTGCGTTCAGCCAAGAGATCCTCTTTGACAGCGATTTCGCGTTTCTGTGCAAGATTGCAGTTACCCTAACCCCCCAGGTACCTACTATATATGGTACTAGAGCCCCTAGGGCCCTATATAGTAGCTAGCTGGGGGGTTAGGGTTCGATCGCCGGGTTCATTGATTTTGAAGAGCAGGTTGAGACTAAAGGTCTTTTAGACTTCTTAGGGGGTCTTGGTTTTCCCAAGTCCCACAGCACACGCTGCACGTCAGGACACGGACCGGGACCCAAAGGGGTTTAGGTTTTACACTGTTGATCTGGGCTGGGATTCCGAGTTACTCTAAGCTTGCTGGCCCCTGCTCTGAGCCAAAACCCGACTTTGCGTCCTATGATCTGTTGTACCGGGTTCCCATAGAAAGGTCAGCATAGGCATAGTTGTCGCATATCGCTCTTTCGAAAGCTCTGCCATCATGCCATCTTCGACGGCACGGCTGAATCTGAGTTTGGTAAACCGACGGCGGGACCTGGATGGTCTTTAGATATGGTCAGCCTTCTTTCTCTGGCCGTGACCCACTGCACCAAGCATGCATGTGAACGATAGCAAGAATTGGCACTGGGTTCCTGGGCTCTTAAGTTTCGGGACCCCTTATTCCTGAGCCTGGTTCCTACATGCTGTCCGGCTGTCGTGCTTGTTGTCCTAAGTTGTGCAATTTCGAGTATGGGTATCATGCTGGGGCCTGTCTTCGGCCTCTAAAGGCTCTGACTATCCCAAAAGCTTCAGCAGAACATGTGTCAAACTCGCAAAACCTATTTCCAGGCTGCTTCAGCTGGATCGACCTGTACCAGAGACCAGCTGCATCGGACCTGCCTGCCTGCCGGGTGACGACTTCGAGGCCTTGTGACCATTTCTTAGAATGCTCCATGTACTTTAACCTACCCTAAAACGCTAGTCTAGACATTGAATCCCTTACATCACAGAACCCTGATAGTAACCGTCATCCGAAGAGAGCTCCCCCTGGTTCACAGATGTGTTTTCTATGTGAGCGCGTCGCTTGTCGGACCCTTGGGCGTCGACTTCGGGGGTTTCGGTGCCGGGGTTTGTAGGCTAGCTAATATAGGGGCCTCAATAATTAGAATAGGGTTTTGGGGGCCATGATACTATAATTATAATAAGGAACCCCAAAATAGCCCCTACATTAGCGTCTAGGGTTCGGAGAGTGGGCTCGGGCCTCAGGGTATTCAAGGTTTGTAGGTACGGGTTTTACTTGAAGCCCCTTTGCGCCAAGTAGCAGGGTTTCTGCATTAGAGCTTTCGGTTGTGTGGGTGTCTTGGAATCCGAGACCCCAAGCCACATTTCGGGCTTAAGGTTTTAATACCTGGCTCCACTGTGCTTGCCAGGGTGTCGGGAGCATGTGCGAGATCACTGGCTGGGGCAGCAGGGCAGACCTTAGTTTGGACACCCAAATCCCTACACTGTGCGAGTGTGTGCGTCGAAACCGTCAGGGTTTAGGGTTTGAGGCGGGCAAGGAAAGCAAACTCTTGTCTCGGCTTTACAGGTCCATTGCCAGGTCAATTCTGGTCCAGAACCAAACCTAAACCCTCAAGCCCTGAAGCCCTAAATCTCCCATACAGACACCACCTAGTTCAGACAGAAGCACTGGATGGCGACTTCACTCCGCCCAACAAGATTCGAAATGTACTTGCCCGTTGCGAACTTTTGGAGCTCCTTCGTAAGAGTTGGAAGGACCCCTCCCAACCCCTTACATAGAGGCCTTACTGACTGCTTATGCTCTTCCTCACGGTTGTTCTTACAGTTCGTCATAGTGTAGTACACCCCAAAGCCCTATTTCATTCATCAAGGCCCCTATGGCAAGCCCAGCACGACTTCAACCAGGGTTTAGGATTTAGGGGTCAGGGCTACTGTGTCGTGTCATGATAAATGCCTTCCGGCTGTTGCGCTGAGATCAATGGGGTTTGGGGCTATCATGATTCCAACCGGAGTCAGAATCGAAATTCCAGGCTTTCGACTTTAGTGGCATATATATATATACATATATATATATGTGTGTGTGTATGTATATGCATATGTGCGTGTCTATGTGTATATGATGAATATATGTGTACATATATATATATATATGTATATATATATATATATGGCCAATCTGTCCAAGACCAGTACCAAAGAAACCACACAGGCCTGCATCTGAAAACACGCACTGAAGCTATCGCTTGGGGCACAATTCCCTGATCAGGTTTAGGGTGTAGCAGTGTAGGCAAAGCCGCAACCCTAACTCGATCGAAATCCTAAGCGCTACACCCAAGGCTAAACCCCTTTTGTTCGAGAGAGGCTCCGTTGAAATATTCACCCGAATCACAGCACAGCCTGATTTCAGTAACACCGTAACACCATATACCTTGTTCGTAGGAACGACCCTACAGACCGATGTATCTAGAACGCTGATGCACGAACACCCTGCCACCTAAACCAGACGAGTCTTTTGCGGATGATAGAACCCCACAGATGTAGAGTCTATAGCTCATATGCAACGAGACGAATATCCCAGGCATGCAGCAGTCGGGGGGTGACCTGCCCAGCATCCTCCAGCAAGCCGTCGTGACCACCGTCGCGCACGACCGTTGCCAGCAGCTTTCAATAGTCTTTTTTCCTTCTCACAGGTTAGAATGTAGATCTGTGGTTTTCGGCTCTCAAACTGTTTTCCTTGAACCGTCAGAAACCCGGTGTTCCGACATGCTGTGTGTAAACACGAACGAAAGTGACCATGCGCAGCGCTGGCCTTGCAGACATGCAGCTGCAACATGCCAAGAAGATTTGAAGTTGCCCCATGTGTTCTCTTTAGAAAATGCAGCAGCAGCAGCAGCAGCAGCAGCAGCAGGGTGCTGCAACAGCATCTACACGAGCACCGCCGCCACCGCCACCACCACCAGCACCAGCAGCACTAACACCAGCACCACCGCCACCACCAACAGCAGCAGCAACCAGCAGAAGCAGCAGCACCAGCACCATCACCAGCATCAGCAGCACCACCAAGAACAGAAGCTGCAACTCCCCTGATAGTGCATACGATAACTCTCCCTGAACTGGCTCATACCGCAGTCCGTTCAGAGTACTCGTAAGGCACAGGGACATGATCAGCATATTGCGTTTGAGAGTTCCTGTTGAACCACTGTTTTTCGCTTTCCTATCTAAATGCCCCTTTACATCTTGGCGAGATGTGTAGATTCTTAGTATGAGTAGTATCCAATGTGGGTATTTGGCGCTCTTTAGGGACCAGAACATCGGTAGGGGCCCTTCCGAGAGTCATGGAGGAACGGAAGCTTCTTGTACGCCGTCCTCACACCGTCCTCCCCCCGAAGCATACAGAGAACCCTAAACCCCCTAAACCCTAAACTCCGACAGCCCCAAGACCCGACATGAACCCTGGAGCCGCTTAGCATGTACTGAAGGTGAGGCGAATTACGCGCAAGCCAACAGGACTTGGCGGATGCTGTGTAAAGGGATCGGGCGTGTCATTTAGCAGTGATGACCACTTGGGGTTACAGTGTTGCTCGTTTTGCAGGGTTGAGGGCTTAAGGCTTCAGGGGTTAGGGCTTATGGGCTAATTCGGGTTATCTGTAAAGATGAGGGATTCCTTGTCACGGCCGTGGGGCCTATCCGATCCGTGAAAGGTTTGCAGTCCAAACCCCAGCAGATTGGTTTGATGGTCGTCCACACTCCTACAAACCCTGAGCCTGTTATGCCAGCTCGGCACCAAAGATGTGTTATATGATTGGGCTTTCCCCCGGGAAGGACAGTGACGAACTCCATGATCTGTGCTGCTGGCACATCTGGGGGAGGACACGCATCAAAGCAGCTGTGTAACAGTGCTTTGAGCCTTTTGCACTTGTCTTGTCTTGTCTGGATCAGTCTTTGGGCTTTGACTCCTGCGAGTGATCGCAGACGACGATAAACGTCGAGAAGCTTGGCAAATGCCTTGTCTGGTGCAATCTAGCGTGGGGGTGCGGGCGAATTTTGAGGCAAGGTCCTCAAGCAAGGCTTCCCGAATTCCCCTGTCGTGATGCATAGGCCTGACTTGCACCTCCGGCAAGTCCAAACCTTCTTAACACTTGATATGCGGACAGTCTGCCGGAGAATGCCGGGAAGTGGCCCGGTGTATACTCCTCAAAGCTTCTGCATTAAATTTGAACGTGCTGAATCAAGACTTCAAGTGCCGGGCAGGAGTGGTGGATGCATGCCAAGGAGATAGCGGTGGCCCACTTGCTCCTTCCACGCATCATACCATGCTATGGCTAGGCCTTGTCAAGCCGTGTCAGAGTGTTGAGTCGAGCATCGGGTTTGCAGAACGAGAGAAGGAAAGCAGGAAAACGTTTGCCGAGTACCTCAACCAGCTTTCCGCTGTTGAAAATGTACGGTTGTTGTAGGGTCAGAAGGTCAGCACTTGGACTTGGGCACCCTAAAAAAGCCCATGCCTGGATCGTTCGAGTGTGAGCGCCGAAACCCCTCATGAATCCGATTGCGTCAAGCCAACATGATGGCAGAATGCTCCGAAATCCGACAAACGATGCTTCCAGGATTTACTCTTGTCCTTTCGGCGTTCGAGATGTGCAGCCAGTTTGTCGTTTGAGCACTGAAACTGCAGATTGTCATTCCTAAACTCTAGGGAGAAGCACCTTAAATCGTCACATTTAAGGCCCTATCTCGAAGCAAGGTTTGTTTGCACCGCGATCGATTCGTCATTGCCGGGGTGACCTCTTGGGGCGCTATGGCTGCAACAATATAAGGCTATTATAAGGGTTGATGGAATATCGGAAGATCGAGGAGATCTATAGTGTCTTACTTTCGCAGCTCAAGCTTCGCTCTTTGTTTCAAACAGGACGCAGGTTGTGGTTGAGGCTGCGGCTCTGGACTCGCCTGCTACAGAGCTTGCAGCTATATCAGAACACCAGATCGAACAAATCAGGAGCATGATCTTGCACCGAAACTTGGGGGTCATGCTCAGTCGGGGTTTCGGGTTTATTAGTGGAGCCTTCGGGACTGCTGGAGTGTTGCGTAGGGCGAGGCGTCTGTGGGTTGACGTGTCTGATGGCCAGGATCCAGAACAAAAGGAACCAGGAAGGAGGTTCTAGAGGTGGAGAGGATTTGGGCTCAGGTCTTCGGATTCGCATTTTGTTACTGTCAAATATCTGAAATTTAGGGGCGAAGTTTAGGGGTTGCCGGGATTTGGGGATTGAGGGCTCCAGGGGATGTTCAGGATTTCAGGGCTCGGCTGAAGGAATCTCTGATGTAGAAGAGTGCGAGTTTAGTTCATAGAGAAGCATGAGGAGTTACCAAGTTTGTGTGCTCCTTATCATGAGTATACCGTAGACCAAAGCACCCCAAACAAGCCCCGATCGACTTGTTGGGGCCCCCAGAAGTAAACCCCAGCAACGGCGCTTCCTTGTGGTTGTTAATGTAAGGGCCTTAATAATTAGAATAGGGATTTGGGGGGGTTCCTTATTAGAGTTATAGTATAAGATACCCCAAAACCCTATTCTATATTTATTAAGGCCCCTATACTACCAGGTCTGGGATGCGGTGACGCGCACTATCCAGGGGTCTACTCTCGAGTGACGGCTGGCTTGGCATCTTGGCTTCGTCCCGGTGCTTCGAGTGTCGGGCGTTAGGGCAGGGTGTTCGGTTTTGATTTTGTTAACTGAGGGTATAGGACACTGAGACCCAGGATTCAGGCTTCCATGGTTCTAGAGCTTATAAATAGGACTTTATATAGCTTTACGGTCTGGTCTAGGGATGACGGGGTGGCCAAGGGTTTTTGGACGACATCGCATGTTCCGACACGCGCTTTTAAATTTCAAACCTTGAGGTGTTCACTCGGGACCCTTGCTGCCTCCACGTGGCACTTCCTGCCCCGAACTGTGAGACACTCACCTGCAACCCTCAACGCACCCTCGACCCCATTTAAGCCCAAAAGTCCTTCCAAGACCGGAAACCTAAAACCCGCCTGAAGCCGATACAAGCCCTTAGAATAGCCCCTGCCGCGCAGAGATCCCACAACGAAGCCTTCTGAAGCCCTTAAAAGTATCTCGTGTAGAACCCTGACGCAGCCCTGAAAGGCGCCAAAAGAAGAGCCAAGCCTTAATCGTTCCCCTACGGATTCCTTAAAGGAACCGAAACCCGAACAGCGCCCTTAGAGGAACCTCAGCCATTATCGAGCACTTGAACTGGATCAGAGCCTTAGAAACCACTGATAACCGTTCTGATAACCTCGATAGAAGATTTAGGGAAGCGACAGCCTTTATGGAACCTTTAGAACACTTCTGAAGCCCTTACCAGCACCCAAAAGCCTTATAGCCGCCTATGTAAGAAATCCTACAAGTTGAGGTAAGGGACCTGAAAGCACCTTGCGGAAGCCTTATTGGAACCAAAATCCCTTATAGACAGCCTGAAAACGACACCCTATACCGAAGCCGCCCAAGCCCTTCAAAAAAGCATGCACCGCTTCTCACCTTAAGTTCAACCCTAAACCATTCTCTGCCCTAAACCCTAAACCCCAAACCCTAAACTACCATGAACCTCGCCTGGCTTGTCCGAGTTGTGAGAGCGTAAACCCTAAACTGGGTGCCAGAGGACTGGATCCGCGACGTTCTGGCGGGCCGACTGAAGAGTCCTGACCGGGGCCGACCACAAGTCGACTTCAAAGGCAGCTGTTTTCTATAAAGGCACATTTAAAGGGTTCCTTTCGGGGTCCCTAAGGGTTCCGTTAAGTCTAAAGAGTCTGGGGTCTAGGGACTAAGACGAATTCTACTACGCAGCCATCTTCCTCGGGTTAGTATGACCGGTATACAACGTACATCATTGGGCAGAAGACTTAGGCTATTGTTGCAGTGCAAAAGGGCCTGTAGTTTTAGCGGTGCGAAGTGTGGGGTAGGAAGTTCGGGGTCTGTTTGATCTTCGGGGCTGTGCTATATGGGTCTGGGGATGTATCAAGTTGGGGTTGAAGGATGACTCGCATGGATGTACAACACTTGCCAGTGCCTTTCTTCTTGAGGCCTGTTTGGGGTGTTCGAGACTTCCGAAGGTTGGGACTTGCTGTTTCTCTGTGTTAGTTCCAAGGTGCATCCTTAGGCCTAGACTCGTGTTTCATCCCGAAATCCTAAACCCCCCAACCCTGAGCCTCTAAGCCTAAGGCCCGAAGCCCTTCAAACTGGCTTTGTCAGGGCGCATGTGGGCAGTGGTGACTGGCCCCTGCGGCATCGACCAGGAGCGAGTCGAAAGGTCAACCTTCCCTAAACCGAAGAGCCTTCATCAACGCGTGCACCGCAACGAACAACCCAAAGCGAAAAGGCTGCACACTATCTTGCGGCACACTATCTTGCGGCTTACCCCAAAGCCCACCCCAAAGCCGCCAGGACGGCTGCATCCATAGCTCCAGCTTCCCGAGGCAATACCAGAGCTTGGAGAAGTGCAGGAGCCTGGTAGGTTGATACAACGATTAAACTGGTGTTAGCAGCGGTTTCATAGGGTTCTAAAGGGCCTTTACATTATTTTAAATGTAGGGGCCTTTATCAACGTCAAGTAGAACCGGGTTCTATAGGATCCTTGAAGGTCTGTAAGGTTAAGGTGGGGCTTCTACAATTACGATAGGGCTGGTGTTGTGTTCGACGGTAGGCATCCTGGGTACTTCAATCCTCGCTGTTTAGTTGGACCTCTAGGGCTTGCGGGTTTGCGCTATCCTGAGTGCTGAAGACTGAAGAGTTTCATGCTCAGGTTGCGAGGGCTTTGTTTTTGGGTTGCATGGGGTTGCAAGGGCTTTGCTGCTGAAATACTATCTTCGCTTGCACCTGTTCAGGCTGTAGGGCCGCATGGGGCCGCAGGGATGACAAGGTTGAGCTTTTTGAGCTTACCTGGACCCCAAAAGTATGTAGAACAATAGCCCTTTAGAGGCTTTGGGCCATTATTTTACCTACTTTTGGGGGTTTAGGTATTGGTTGACAAAGCCTGCGCAGGATTGCCGTGAATGTCTCCGCAGCTCTGCCGATTCGTGTGCAATCATTCGCGACGGAAGGGCCCTACGACCATCTGGAGGCCACGGGATGCATTTGGTACGATTCTGATTGCTGCCTGTTAAGATGAGCATTGCATTGTTATTTTTATTCGTACTACTAACTACTGGTCGTTATTCTTGTTCGTATATTGTCATAGTACTTGATAATGAAACTGCTCTTACTGCTATTCATTTGCTGTTACTGACAGTCGCAGTTATTGCCGTTGTTCGTGTTTGTTGCATTCGCTGTATTTTTCTTATTTGTCAGTATTGGTCTGCTTGTAGTCCGGTTTATGAGGTTCGAGGGTTCCGGGCTCATGGGCTTAACACGTTTACTTGTCAGTTTCCATTGGGTGCCATTGTTCCTCTCGCTGTAGGGTCCCCATGTGGCGATTCAGCGTTTGGAAAACGAGACCGTTCAAATCTAAACCTATCGCATCCTGATACCCTTCAGAAGTCCTAAGAGCCTCAGACATACAGGTTTCGGGGAGTTGTTGGTCGTTCAGCCGGGAAGGAGTAGTAGTAGAGGTCAGAGCAATAGAGCACGAGGAAACTCGAAGATCTAGACTTGCGCCAATAGCCGGGGAAAAGTTTAAGCAGCAGCAGCAGCAGCAGCAGCAGCAGCTGCAAGAATTGTGTCGCCCGAGCCAGGTCAATTGCGTTCCTTACTCCGGCAGGTGGCTTGGCGCGGTCGTTAGGGTAAACGCACAATTGTCTCACAAGGTAACTTTTTCAGGATCTGTTGCGTCGTTGTTCTTGAGAAATGTCATGTCTCCGTGGCACGGGCTCTCTCACTTGGGATCTCCGAGTCTCGGCAACCGTAGTCTTGACTTGCTGCTGGCAGTGCCAAACCTCGCTGTGCTGTTAAGGGTCGGGGATCGAAGCAAGCATACCACTCAAGATCGGTGTGAGAGACGATGCCCATATGTATACATATACTACGAAACAGTCTACACTTGGGTGCGCAATCGCCTGTGCTCGTGCCTTGCAATGCCGCGCTCGTTTTCTTGATTGCTTAGTTCAGTATAAAGTTGCTCACGCACCATTGTGTCTCCTCATTTTACAGCCAAGCCGTGAATCCCTAAAGCTGTCCACCCACAGATCTGAAACCCAGACATTCCACCTTTAGCTTAGCAACCTCTTGCAGAGGCAAGGGCCCCATGGCATCGTGCCGAACGCAGCCGCCTGACCCGAAAAATCTTTAGATTCAACGGTCGGATGTTTTGGGGATTTGCCTTGCAGGCGTTACAGTAGCGTGGAGTACACCATCAGTCTTGCCACGACGGCTCCATGAGGCTGAGCTAATGCTTGTTGGCAAACTCACCGCATTGCACAGCTGCCTTCAGCAGGGTATTTGATTGCCGTCTGCTACGGGTCAGAAGGCATTCCTGCCAGCGCATGACTTTAAAATAACTACAGGACTAGGGCTTTACAGTAGATTGTGGAAACTTTGTAGATCCCATATAAACGTTTACAACCTTTAATTCAAAACGAGACTCGATAAGTATGCGCCGGAGTATCGGAAGCATGAGTTCTGCATCCTGAACCCTCGCAAGAATTAGAGCCAAGGATGATGCACAAGTAGTGAACCCGAGTTCTGCAAGCCCTACACAACTTAGTAGCTGAGTAGGTAAACTTAAACCTTTTTGGGCTTATATAATCCTACCATAATTGAAAGGTTAACCTTTTTGGCCTAGGGTACTCAGCCCCTAAGACAAAACAAAGGCTGAAGCCCGACACCTGCCTGTCGTGACAACTCAACACCAAACTCAACCCGAGAACGTTGTAGGGCCTTAGGGTTCAGGGTTTAATGATTTTGTGTTTAGGGCCTTTGGGTTTAGTGTGTAATGATTGAGTATAAAACAGACGAAAACAGCCTCCTCGAGGATATCTTTTGGCTCTCCGACGGTTCCCTACAGGAGTGGTGGCCTAGGTTTCAATGCGGTGTGAGAAGGTGTAGAAAGGGCTTTGAATTCGCAGGACTTTGTGAATGAGCTTCTTGAAGGCGTCCACTGCTCGATGTTTTCATCAGAGATTTTGTGTCATTACTGTGTGCATGACGAAGCTATTTATTGGCAGGCTTTGGTGTGTTTTTCGTTGTTTTTGCGACCCCTCCCAGGGATTCTCCACATGCGCGGTTCACATTTCGAATTGAGGCCCTTGTTCTTGCGGATCGATAACTGGCTTGAAAGAATCCAAAGACAGACATTCCTCTATGCACCTCTTTGCATCTGGAACTGCTCGAAGCTCTCCTGGCGAGGCGAGAGAGTGGACAGAAACCTGAAACCCAAGCCCTCAACTTCCCATATGAGGACACCGGCTGGAAGCTTTGCCCGGACACGCCGCGTCTCATTTGAGGTTTGGCGAAAAAGGTTCAGAACGGCAACAGTGGCGAACACAAACATCCGCTCGTAGGGTCTGTTCAGGGTTTAGCTCTTAGGGTACTGAATAAGAACTTGCGTCATTGCGTATCTGATGCCGCGCTGTGGAGTGCCGTCTTAGTGCTGCCATGCAACTTTTAATGCAAGAAAGCCGAAACCCTCTGAGCCCTGCGCCGTAATTCATGCATGGGCTGAGCCCTGCCTGAAGCCTCTGCCAGCCTGCTTATCCGAGGTCCCGACTTTCCGCGGAGAGTTTGGCTTAAGAACAGAAGTTACGAAATGCTTATGTGCTGTTTGTTGTTGACTCTGGCCTTTGCTCTAAGCTTGTGCATCTCGTTGCCTTTAAGCTGCGCGCGATGAGAAGGGCCTGAGACGGACGAAATCGCGTTGCCTTGCTATTTCCTGCTTCTCCCTGTGGGAGACTCGGGGGGACGATCCAAATCCAAGTTTGACAGGCCCAGTGCAGGTTCTTGGCCTGTAAGGTCCATGGCAGATGGGTTTTGATACCTGAAACCCTCAACCCTATAGGCCCTAGGATTTGGAACCCTAAACCCTAAAGCCTCCTAGGCCCTAGGATTTGGAACCACTCCCAACTGTTTACATCGGGAGTTTTCCGGACTCCCGAGCGGGGGTCCGAGAGAGTGAACTGTCTCGGTGCAGCCTCAAGGATGTTTCTGCAGGGTTACTTTTTAAGGGTTTAGGGTTTAGGGATTTAGGGGTTTAGGGGTTTAGGGTTTATAGGGTTTATAGGGTTTAGGGTTTAGGGCTACTTTTTAAGGGAACGAAGAGCCTGAGCTCAGCAAAGAAGTCTGGAGGTTTTGGGGTCATTGGCGGCGAATGACGGCTTAGTGGCCATTCATCTCACGGACCCTCGCTCTGCTGCATGCAGGAGCCGCTACAAAAGTGGCTTCCAGCCATCACTCCGACAAAGAAAAATTCGAAAAACGTCAAATCTTACACTCCAACCTGCAGTACCCTAACCCCCCGGGTGCCTACTATAGAGGGCCCTAGGGGCTCTAGTACCCTATATAGTAGATACCTGGCGGGTTAGGGGTAAGCAGCCTTGAGTCCCATTAACACTCACAGCGGCCCGTGTGAGAGCAGAGAAAACCCAGACCACTACCGAATTCACGGCCCAAAAACCGCTTAACTGCCACATGCCAGCTTCCGATTGAAACAGAGGCTTGTGTGCCGGCCTACGGATAGTTGTAGGGGCTTGTTGTTTGGAAGATTTGGGGTTCTGCACCTCCGAACATCGCAGCCCACGTGGCTCCAGGTAGTTCTGTCGCCCGTTTTGTGCCAAATGCCTTGTCCTCAATGCTTGCCAGCTGCTGGGCCCGATGAGACAGAGCTTACGTCCCCAAATCCTAGCACGACGGGCTGAGATCCTCCCTCTAAACCCAAGTTCCGCCTTTGGCAACATAGGCGTCAGAACAGAGAGAGAACCGTGACCTCATACTGTTTCGCATGGTCTCGAAGAGACCAGGGGTTCGAAGCAAGCTGTACAACTCAGCCTTGCCGAGTCCACAAGTTTTATCCCAAGAACCTGGTAGTGGTGCTCGTCTCTTGTCTGGTTCTGCGTCTAGAACGCAGGTTAGAGCCCGAAACTCCGAAACTGAATACCTAGACCCTGAACCTCAAGTCTTAATCTTGGCTCATGGCAGTCCCTTCTGTAATTGTACAACTTAGACCCTAAACCTCCAAACCTTAAGGCGTAGAGAGGTCGAAAGGTGTCACTCGATGTCTGAGCCTTCCACCTCATAATTACCCGAGTGGCCCGGGAATCCATGGCAAAGGGCAGGTTTAGGGTTCAGGATTTGAGTTTAGGTTGTAGGGCTGAGGGTTTAAAACTTCACACTGTTTTGAAGGGAAGCCATGATGGAGCACCCTAGGAAGGCAGGTACAGTTTAGGATTCAGGTAGGGTTTCAGGTTTCAGTAAGGCTAAAGGCAAGGTCCAGGGATCAGGGCTTATGGTTTGATGCAAGGTGGCATTTATGCCCTCATCCTCTGCGTGACTCTCTCAGGCACCCGGTAGTGCTCGT